ACTATGGGGGTGTGTCAGAATGTTGTATTTGTCTAGCCTGCAGTGGGGTGCTCTATAGCGAGTACAGCCCAATCTAGGGTTTCCTATATGTACTCAACTGCTTGCTAGTGAAACTCCTCCTTTCTTCATTCTTACTTTCTACAGCTAGTTCTGACAGACTACTGCTCCCAATCTGTCGGGTCGTCGCGCGTGGCACAAATCAGCTTCTCCGTGGTTTGGTTCGTCTGCTCCGTCTGACCGTCGGTCTCGGGGTGGTACAACGAGCTGAATTGTAGTCAGGTCCCAAACTGCTCCCAAAGGCTCTTTCAAAAGTTGCTGGTGAATTTCGTGTCGCGGTCGCTAATTATCGCGGATGGTATCCCGTGCAGTTGTACAACGCTTGCGATGAACAGGCAAGTGGTTTCTTTGGCTGAGATCGATTTACTGCACGCAGCGAAGTGGGCCAGTCGGTCAACGACGTCCATAACTGCACTGTTAGCACCAGGGCTCGAGTGTAACTCTGAAAAAAATCCATGGTAACCTATGTCGAATTATTATTGTTATAGTTTGAGAATTCTAGTTTAGGTTGTGTACATTTATGGTTTAGGGTTGACTAGGGTTGGCTAGGGTTGCTAATCTTCCTTGTCATTAACATTTCTAGTCATTTATCACCAGTTGTTACTGTGATATGGTATAGAGCGATAAGATCCTATGGGCCCACCGCTCCGTACCCGACCTAGCCCATAGCGCCTCGTCACCCGTAGCGCCTCGTCAACCGTAGCACCTCGTCACCCGTAGCTCCTAGTCACCCACATGTAGCGCCCTACCCGTAGCTTGCTAGCCCAACGTGTCGCCCGTCAGCCCGCTAGCCCTGCGCGTCACTCGACACGACCTAGAACGGCCCCCGCGGGCCCACCCGATCGCGCTAGATACGCCCCTCCGCAGGTCCCCCCCACGACACGACCTAGAACGGCCCCCGCGAGCCCACCAGATCGGGCTAGGAAGGGACCCCCGCGGGTCCCCCCACGTCGCGACCCCATCCCTTTCACGTCGCCTCCCAATGCCCCTCCCCGTCGCATCTTCGTTGCCCTCCGCGTCGCATCCCCGCCGCCTCCCGTCCCCTTCCCAACGCCCCCCATCCCCTTCCCGTCGTGTTCGCGTTGCCTCCCGGCCCCTCCCCTTGCGGGCCCCTCCCCGTCGTGTCCCCGTCGCCCTTCGCGTCGCGTCCTCGTCGCCCTTTGCATTGTGTCCCCGTCGCCCTTTGCGCCGCGTCCCCGTCGCCCTTCGCGTCGCGTCCCCGTCGCCTCCCATCCCCATCGCCTCCCATCCACATCCTGTCACATCCCCGTACCCTGTATCCGTTGACCCCGCTGTCCCACCCTGTACCGGCCGCCCCACCCTGTACCCGCCTCTCCACCCTGTACCCGCCGCCCCATCTGAAACCCGCCGCCCCACGAGCTAAAACCCGCCACCCCACCTGAAATCCGCCGCCCCATGAGCTAAACCTGTCGCCCCACCTTAAACGTGCCGCCCCACGAGCTGAAATCCGCCGCCCCACCTGCAACCCGCCGCCCCACCTGAAACCCGCCGCCCCACCTAAAACTCGCCACCCCACAAGCTGCCCCACCCACCTCCCCACCTGTAACCAGCCGCCCCACCTACTACCACACCCATAACCTGCGCTTGTTCCTTGATGCCCCACCTGTTACTAACTGCAACACCCGTAACCAGTTGTTCCACCCGCTACCCCTCTTGTACTTGCTGTCCCACAGCTACCCAACAGCTAGTAGGCCCGGCTATCGACTGCTACTAGCCGTTTTCCACTGCACTAGACTGCTCCAGATCGTACCCCGACCGTTCCTAGCCGCTCCCCACCATGCTCGGCTGTCTCTAGCACCTACCATGGCGTATACTAGAGATCTGTTGTAGCAGGGTCAGCCGCTACGACCGCAACTGCACTCCTGGCAGTGGGGACCTGAGGGTCCTAGGAGTACCGACCTTAGCAGCAGCTCACCCAGCAGAAGGCGTGACGTCGGTCCTTATAAGTACCGGATCCTGACTGGTCCTGATACTGGCACTACCTGCAAGAGTCCTTACCACTCTGCATTCTGCTGCTACCGTCGCCTCGACGACCTTCACCGTGAGCATTTTGGTCCTGATGTTGTTACACCGCAGTGGCCTTCGCGTCTTTGCCAGCGCACTATTGCACGCGTTGAGTCTCAACTACCTGGTCTAGGACCTTTCCCAGCTGCACGAGTAGAGACCTGTTTCTCCAATCTTGGTGCGTATGTAGTTTCCAGTCCAGACGCCTCTGAGTCTCTGTTTGGGAGCTGCAGCTACCACTCGTCTAGTACCAGCCTTTGTCGCTGGCTCGGGTGCGAACTCACCGATTGCACAGCTTTCCTTCACCCTAGACTCTGGAGAGTCCAGCTCTTTCTTTCGCGACTGCACAGACCTCACGCCACTGCGCACTCTTGTCACTGTCGCCTTGGCAAACCCCTCCGTGGGACCTATCGTTGCCCACAACACCACCAGTCTCCTATGTCCGGCGGCTCCCTCTGAGTTTCTTACAGGTTACTACACCCCTCGTTCTCAAGGAACCTGGTAGGTGTCAGTTTCCTCCACGACCTTGGTGTAGTCACTACTTTCCCTCTGGACGAGCCTGTTGCCTCCTACACAGCCGGTACCACTGGGGCGCCTATGCCACATTCTACAGGGAGATGGGCTCTAGTCTATACTCACTACACACTAGGTCCCACCACACATGTGTTGAATGCATGTTAGTTTGAGTGCATGTCATCCTAACGTCCTGCCGAATGCTCGTGCTATTTGTGTTTGCATAATTAGCATGAGCGTATGTCATTATGCATGGCTGTTGGATTTTTCCATCTCTGTGTTTTTCTCCAAGTCTACATGCGCGATTGTGCAATCCGGAGCTTTCCACGATACCAAGATCGCCATATTCCAACCAAGATCGCCCAAGTTATAAGATTTCCAAGCTTTGGGAACCTTTTATAATTTTGAGATATTATCTTCATTGGGCGATTATTGGGATATGTCTATAACGGTATATTTGGTTGAGTGGTTAGGAGTGTTACGATAGGACTAGGAGCCATGGCTAGAGAGAATAGTTGAAGAGATTGATTAGAAAAAAGTGTCAAGAGAAATTTTGGAAGGAGCATGAGGAAAACCTAACTAAACCTAAGGTGTGTTCGTTTTTGTTTGATAACTACAAAATGAACCTAAAGTGAACCTGCAAGCGTAATCGCTATAAGGATGGCGAAATAGCAAAAGAAAACCAAAATATAGACCAGGGTGAGCTCTAGCCTACTCCAACACACCTTCTGGCTAGGTGAAGCTCTGGAATAGAACACCTAGCGAACTGGCACACCTCCAGAAATGGCCAAGCTCCTAGTGAGCCCAATCTTGCGCACGTAGAAACAATGTGGCACACGCAGGAGGGCCTTGGTGAAAATGTCAGCAAGGTTGGCATTAGCGGCTACCTTGCGAAGATGTAAGAAGCCATACTACACCAGCTTGCGCACGAAGAAGTAGCGGACTTTGATGTTTTTGCCGCGAGCATGATAGACAGGACTTTCAGTGAGCTGGATCATGCCCGCTTCAGAGGGATGAGAGTGACCCAGCTCAGCAAGGAGAAAAGAGAGCCAGCAAGCTTCCTGGGCTGCCAATGTGCCTGCATACAACTCATCCTTGTATGTGGAACGGCTGACAGAAGATGAGCGAGTGGAGCGCCAGCTGATGAGACCACTGCCAAGAGTAAAACCATAACCCTGAGAGGAGCGGCGATCAGTGCAAGAATCATCATAGGAGGAATCACTATAACCGGAAAGAACGGGGGGAGAAGAGCCGCCAAGAGTGAGTGCAAGATAAGAGGTAGTGCGGAAATAGTAGAAAATGTGCGTGGCAACCGCCCAGTGCACGTCAGTGTGGCGATCAAGGCCAACAAAGCGAGAAAGGACTTTGAGGGGGTAATCAAGATCGGGGCGAGTGCACATCATAGCATACATGAGCGACCCAACGCGTTCAGGGTATGGTCGCAATTCTGAGAAGGGATCGAGAACAGCAGGGGCAGTAAGCTGATGGTTAGCGAGAAGAGGAGTGGAAACTGGCTTGGCATGCGACATTTCAAAGCGCTCAAGGATGGAGTGGATGTAGAAGGATTGAGAGACGGAGATGGTGTGCGCAGCACGATCGCGGCGAATGAAGTGGGGGAGAGGGAAGGCAAGGGTAGAAGAGGAGGTACGGTAGGAGTAGGAGGGCAGAAGCGCAGAGGAAGAGAGGTAAGGGCGAGACTAGGTGCCGTAAGGGGAAGGGGATAGCAGCGGAGCAGATGTGAGGAAACAAAAGAAGAGGAGGAATAGGGGTGAGATAGTCAGCTGCTGAGCCGTTGGCGGGAGGCACATGAGGAGAAGGAATAGGGGTGAACTAGTCTGCTGCTGCGCCGCTGAAGGGAGAAACAAGAGGAGGAGGGATAACGGCGGAGTGGTCTGCTACTGTGCCACTAAGGGGAGGAACAAGAGGAGGAGTTATAACGCGGAGTAGTCTGCCGCTAAGGGGAGAAACAAGAGGAGGGATAACGGCGGAGTAGCTTGCTGCTGCGCCGCTGAGGGGAGAAACAAGAGGAGGGATAACGGCGGAGTAGTCTGCTGCTGCGCCGCTGAGGGAAGAAACAAGAGGAGGAGGGATAACGGAGGAGTAGTCTGCTGCTGCGCCACTGAGGGGAGAAACAAGAGGAGGAGGGATAGCGGCGGAGTAGTCTGCTGCTGCGCTGCTGAGGGGAAAAACAAGAGGAGGAGGGATAGCGACGGAGTAGTCTGCTGCCGCGTCGCTGAAGGGAGAAACAAGAGGAGGAGGAAGAATTTGTGAAAGAATTTGCAGTTGAGCAGTTGAGGGGAGGATATTGAGGAGGAGGAAAGGTGTGGAAGAGCAACAACTACAAGATACAAACAGCTACCAGCTGCAGCTGATGAGGAGAGGAAAGAGGTGGAGGAAGGGGTGAGATGGCGGAGAGGGAACTGGAGGAGAGAGGAGAGGAGGAGGATGGTGAAGGGGCGGATTGTGGGAAGGGTGGGGACTTGACGGAAGGGCAGGGCGCGCCACAATTAGCTACTAGCTGCAGCAGATGAGGAGAGAAAGGAGGAGGAGGTAGAGGTGAGATATTGGTGGGAGATAGAGAGAGAGGAGAGGAGGAGGGAGGTGAAGGGGTGGATTGCGGGGACGAGAGGTGAGCACGGGTACGAGGTGGCAGCCAGCAACCAGCAGCCAGCTGCAGCAGATGCAGAGGGGAAGGAGGTGGAGGAGATGAGGAGAGGCAAGAAGGAGCGGGAGGAGAGAAGAGAGGAGGAGGAGAGTGAAGAGGCGGATGCGGTGGGCGGATAGGATGAGTGTGGGGCGCGAGAGTCTAGAAAGGCGCACCACGAAGAAGTGCGTAGGCGCCCGGGAGGAGAGGAGGCTGGGCACCCGCGAGAAAGAAAGGGAGGGCGCTCGTGAGAGGATAGAGAAGGGCGGCCACGCAGGCCGGGACGTCAGCGACCAGAGGGCAGGGGGGAGGGAAGGCGCGCGCAGAGACAGGGGAAAGCACGCACGGGCATGGGGCAGGTGGCACGACAGCGAAAGCAGAACGCGTGCGGCGACGAGGCAGGGCGAGCGCGACGACGGAGCAGGGCGCGCGCAGCGACAAGGCAGGCGCGCGCAGCGACAGGGCAGGGCGCGTGACGTTCGTGAGAGGCGGCTAGGGGGGTCTGCAACCACTTTAAGGGGCCGCGCGGCTGCCTAAGGGGAAACCCTAAAAAAAAAAAAGAGAGAAAAAAAGGTCGAGATGATAGAAAGCTGGAATTTCGCGGGTGCCTAAGGGTGCCTAAGAGTCTAAGCATCATTAAGAGATGTAAACAATGAAGCCTTGCCTAGGATTAGGCTCTAGATACCTTGTTAAGATAGGTTTTGGAGCCATGGATAGAGAGAATAGTTGAAGAGATTGATTAGGAAAATTGTCGAGAAACATTTTGGAAGGAGCATGAGGAAAACCTAACTGAACCTAAGGTGTGTTGAGTTCAGACCAAAAACTACAAAATGAACCTAAAGTGAACCTGAAAGCGTAACTCGCTCTAAGCATGGCGAAATAATAAAACAAAACCAAAATATAGACCAGAGCGAGCTCTAACCTACTCCAACAAGAAAAGCAACTTTGACTTTCGGATTGGGTTGGCTAGAAGTTTCTAGCATGAATTACAAATGTTGCAACACCTAGGCAAAATCCATCCAAATTGGATTTTGCATGTCACACCTCAAGGGCCTCATAATGAGGGTTGCATCCTTGCTACTAGAAAGGTTCCTACCATCCTTCCCTAGCTCTTGGAGAACCCCAACTCCAACTTTCTATGCCTTTATGCTTGTACTCCCTCCACCATTCCAGTCATGCAGCTGCTGGACGTTTTCAGGTGGTTTTCACCCTCTAGACCATCTTTCTAAGTGACTCATATTGGAAATAGTGGTTAAGCCTAAGGCGCGCAATCCTACTGAGCGGATTTGTGTTTAGTTGAGAAATGAGTTTGTCGTAAGTTCTCAAAGTGAGGGATCTTGAACAACAACTAGGTCAGGTCAGGCCAGGTCAGGTCAAGTAGCTGCTGTGTCGTGCGACTGTCAGTTGCTCACCCACCCGTCAGTCCTCTGGCACCACTGTTTATGTCACCCATCCTTCCAGAGTCTCAGTAGGATTGTACGTCACCGTCTGGTCTCAGGTCTCCCAGTGTCCCTCGCCCCACTTCCTCGCTCGCCTGCACCGCCGTGCACTCCTTGCATCGAGGGTCGGCAGGGCGCTGCCCCTCACTCTTCCTCGTTCCCCCCCATCACCGCTCCCTTACACACCCTCCAGTTGGACGTCTGGGGTGACTCCGCGGTCCTTGGCCCACGTGAGGAGCGCTTCTTCCTGATGGTGAACGACTACTCCCGCTATACCACGGTGATTCCCCTGCGACCGAAGGCCGACGTGCCTACCATCCTAGAGCCGTGGCTACTAGCGAGAGGTGGCGCCCTGGGCCTTTGTGGACTCCGTCTACGCTCTGACAGTAGTGATGAGTTTGCCTCCACTCGCATGTCGGCGTTCCGTGGGCCCATGGGATCATCCAGTCCTACATGCTACCAGCCTCACCACAGTAGAAGAGGTAGCCGCGCGACGCATAGGTCTGGTCATGGAGGTTGCTCGGACCTCCATGTGCCATGCGGATATCCCCCAGTTCCTGTGGCCCCAGGCTGTCTGCTACGCCGCGCAGTAACTGGACCTGTGGCCCAGTGACGCATGGCCATGGGTGACGCTGGTCTTCCTGGACAGGGACTCAAGGTGTTGTAGCTGACTACGAAGTCTGGGGCTCCCTGGCCCATGTTCACGCCCCTGGCGTGAACAAGTGGTCTGCTCGCACACGTGCTTGTAACTTTCTTGGTTCCCCCTGGATGCCTCTGGCTGGGTGTTCTTCGACTCACTCACCTACGAGTTCTTCAGTTCCTAAGATGTCACTTTCTACGAGTGCGTCTGTTACTACAGGAGTTGCCCTGTCTGTTTCTACAGTCGTCGTCCCCACCAAGGTACTGAGGTCTTTCCCCCCCTGCTGTTCCTCACCCTTGAGCCCCCTCCCCAGTCGCCCCGGTAGCCCCCCCACCTTCGCCTCTTGCCCCGTCAGGTGTGTCGCATGTCACCCCGCAGTCGTCTCCCCCACATCGTCCAGTCTCTGTCGTGTCTGGGGCTGCTGGAGGTGCAGTTGCGGAGGGTGAGGGTAGTGGGGCTGCTAGAGCTACTCTGGGGGTGCAGGGGGTTTGGGCGTGGAGGTCACTCTCGTGGAGGACACGGCAGCCTCAAGTCGGCAGCCTCGCCCCATGTCGCCTCGTGGCTTCCCGCCCGTCCCGCAGTTCCCTCCTCGTTCTTCTCTGCGGCCGGTTGCTGCGGAGCCTGGGGGTAGTCCTGCGAGAGGTATTGGAGGCACCGAGGCTATCGGTGGTGGAGGTGCTAGTTCTAGGGGTGTTGGAGCCAGGGGCACTGGCACTCCGGCACCTACACTGCGCACTATATGTTTCTTGACCTGTGGCATCGTCTTCTTCGGTTGGAGAGGGAGGATCGGGAGCGGTTCGAGACGGCACGGCAGCAGCAGGAGCAGTCTCAGTCGCAGCGTCAAGAGAGCGTAGAGGAGGAGCCACATTCACAGCAGCGGGTACAGTTGCAGCCACAGCAGGAGAGAGTAGAGGATGAGTCACAGCCACAGCAGGAGAGAGCAGAGAGGGAGTTACGACTACAGCAACAGATGCAGTTGCAGCCCCGGCAGGAGAGAGCAGAGGAGTCTCGAATACAGCAACATGTGCAGTTGCAGCCACAGCAGGAGAGAGCATAGGAGGAGTCACGCCTGCAGCAGCAAGTGCAGTTGCAGCCCCAGTAGGAGAGAGCAGAGGATGATCCATGACTAAAGTAGTAGATGGAGTTGCAGCCTCAGTAGGAGAGAGTAGAGGAGGAGTCCCGACTACAGTAGCAGGTGCGGTTGCAGCCGCAGCAGGAGAGAGTAGAACAAGAGTCACGGCTGCAACAGCCGCAGGAGAGAGTAGCGGAGGAGCCACACCTGGAGCAGAGGAACAGTGGGAGCAAGTGCCATCTTAGCAGACGTCAGAGGAGGAAGGTCAACAGAGACTTCGTGACCTGCCCGACCAGCACATGCACGCTTGGTTCGTGGGCCCCTTCCGTCCCCTCCTGTTTACCGTGTCCAATGCCTTTCCTTGTCCCCGTGGGCTCATCGTGGTTCTCTTAGTTGTGCTGTAACTCCAAAGCCCCGTTGGTCCCGTTTCACCTTGTTCCCCGCTCTCGTGTTCCACCTTCCCCGGTCCTTCCACAGCCTCCAGAGTCGTCCCTCACTGTGTTTCACGACCCGTTGTCCGACTACCTCCGTGCCTCCCATTCTATCGTCTCTCGGTTATTCACCCAAGTGCCCCCCCCCCCGTTTTCTGTCTCAGCACTTGTTACCACGGTCACTCGCTTTGCCTCTTCCCACCACCTTGACTACACCGCTCACCTAGTGAGTGCGTTCTCCGTCCTCAGGAGGTGCTCATATCTTTTCCCTGGAGATCCCCGGCAGTTCGAGCTTGGTTTCCTATCAGTCGCTGTTCCTCATTTCTGCGCAATGCTGCTTGCCCCTGAGGGGATCCACACGCCCTTGACATCCCGAACTCTCACACTTACGCCGAGGCGGACTCGGGACCCTGGGTTTCGTAATAGATAGCAGCCGAGGAGGTAGAGATGGCATTTTATAGCTCCACAGGTATCTAAGTCGACGTCGTCTCACCACGTGGGACAAACGTCGTCAATGGCATGTGGCTCTACAACATGAAGCGGCCGCCTGGATCACCACCGGTGTTCAAGGTGCGCTATGTAGTGAGAGGCTTTAGTCAGCGCGAGGGGGTAGACTTCTTCCAGACCTTTGCTCCCACCCCGAAGATGACCGCTCTTCGGGTGTTGTTGCACATCGCAACTCTGCGCGACTTCAAGTTACACTCCTTGGACTTCTTCACAGCGTTTCTTTAGAGGAGCCTGCATGAGCAGATCTGGCTGCGTCGCCCACCTGGCTTCACTGGCTCTTTCCCTCCTGGGACTTAGTGGCAGCTGCGTCGACCGGTCTACGGCCTGCGACAGGCTACCCGTGGTGGCACGACACACTTTGCACGACTCTTGCAACCCTTGACTATATTCCATCGTCTGCTGACCCGTCGCTGTTCGTCCGTCGTAGCTTGACCTCGTTCTTTCTTCTGGTTTACGTTGACGACCTGGTGTTCGCCACTCTCGACTGACGCGCACGGACCTCCGTGAAGGAGGAACTGTGGAGGAGATACACCTGCACTGACCTTGGTGAGCTGCAGCACTAGCTTGGCCTGCAAATCACCAGGGACAGGGCAGTTCGCACCATTACACTGACGTAGTCGTATATGGTCGAGCAGATTCTCACGCGGTTTCCCTTCCCGTTCTCCAAGGTACAACTCACCCCTCTTGCTGTGGATCATGGGCTCACGGCTCTACCTTTGGACGAGCCATATGAGGGCCCGAGTCTATATCCTAAGCTGGTGGGTTCTCTCATGTACCTCATGCCTCGTACTCGCCAAGACCTAGCTTACCCTCTTAGCGTCCTTGAGCGCTTTGTTGTGCCTAGGAGACACGGACCTTCCCACTGGCTGGCGGCTAAGAGGGTGGCAAAGTATGTAGCGAGTACATCAGGCATGTGACTTGTCCTTGGATAGAAGCAGTCAGTTACACTTTCAGGGTTCTCAGATGAACGCACTTGCCGACAACCTGCTGCTAGGCGCACACGGGCGGTGGAATCGGCAGCAACCGACCCGCCTTTTTCTTGCGCAAGCTT